ACGCCGCCCCCGCCGGAGCTGTGTGCAACCCCACCACATGTGCAAGGAGGGGGAGAGGGAGCAACTCGCTGCCGGCAGCTGCTGGGAGTGTCTGCAGCATCTGCTTGCTGGCCTTTGGGGCACAGAGCTACATGGGCTGCCGGGCCAGGAGGGGACAGGCAGCGAGTGAGATGCCAAAAAGAAAAACACAGAAAAGTATACAATGGCCCAAGGTCTGGGGCTTGCTATTTTTAAATAAGCAATTGTTGTCAAAATAGCACAGCTGCTTTGAAGAAGCAGGGGACTGTGCTGAGGTTCAGGACCTCCGAGGCCATCAGGGGCAGGACCCAGCGCAGCCAAACACGGCTGGTGGGGTCCAGCCACCCACAGGCACTGGGCAGCACCGTGACCCCTGCCACAATGTCATCCTGATGGCTTCCACTGGTGAAGATGGAGACAGGCACTTATGGAGCCTCCACAAGGAAACAGGAAGCAGGGAACGAGTGCCAAAACCTCTAATACTTGCCTTACCTGTTGACTCTGCGTGGACATTTGTCAGGCTTGATATCCACTTCATAATGATACACATCAATCTTGGGAATGTCCACTTCAAAGTAGTTGGCCAAGAGCTTGATGGGCTTCCCAACTGTTCCTATCCCGGGCCGACGCGGTGCTTGAAACACCTGCTGCAACGGTGGCAGGTATGCGCCTGCAGCTGCGGGGAGAGAAAACGGGTCAAGGAGGGCTGCGAGAAACCCTGTGCCCAGACAGACAACACAGAGTCACAGCACTCTCCATCACCGCATCCCAAACTGGGAAGCTCCTGGCAGAAGGTGGTGGTGGCAGAATTCAGACCAGCACAGCTGGAAGCAGCTTCCCTGGGCACTGTCGGGCAAGCGCCAGTGCCAGCTGAGCTGTCAAAGGGCAGTGCCAAGCCCTCCGCTCTGCCAGGCCATCACCAGCTGTGCAGATGTCAAACCATCCACCGGCACATAAATAATCTCTGCTTTGCATTAAGGAAGGTAACTCAACTGAGGCCACACGTGGCAGCGGTACAGACTGTGGAAGGACAAGGCACTCCCACCACCCATCCCGAACACAAGCACACCCGTGTCCTGGCGTACGTCACGATACTCGTAACTCAATTCCCTGACCAGATGCGGGGACACAAGGCCACATTCAGTTCTCCTGACACCAAAGGACAGGTTGTACCTAATGTTCACGTTAAAAGAGCTTTGAAAGTGCCCGCTATGCTGCTGCAAAGCTGCACTAAAACTTCTGTTCACACAAGAAATGTCGCAATATGCAACCAACCAGAACAATGGCAAGAAACTCTCTAGCCGTGCGTTTAAAAGGCAAGTAGAACCTCATATCTGCGCTGACAGCTCACCATGGGTCTGCAGCAGCAGCAGCACCCCACTTTGTCTGAAGCGTGTGGGAGACATCAGCACAGTGAGTTAGTGAAGATACACTTAGACTGAGACAGCCTTGGTGTGTTTTTATTGCCCACCCCTTCCCTGGCTCCTGCGGGAAGAATTCCTCTGACAGCGTCTCTCCAGGCATCCCCAGCATCCCATCCTACAGGGCAGCGTTTGCCAACCAACAAGCACAGAGAGGACCAAGCATCGCCTGCCCCGCCGCACGGCAGCGACATCAAAGCCAACCCACGCCAGGCTCCGGCGCGCAGAGCGCTTTGTTGTAAGGGCAGCTCCAAAAATAGCCCAAGTCTGACAGCTCCCCAGTGCCAAGCAGGAGGTGGTGCGGGACTTGCTGGGTCACGGCGTGAGGAGAAATGGGACACTGCTGCAAACCCCAAAGAAGAAAGCACCCACCTAACGCTGCCAAGGGGCTTTGCCACAAACAGAGTGGTCTTGTCCAGTTCCACCTGCCCGCTGTGGCTGGTGGATACCCTCTACCCCCCTTCACGCACTTTCCTCCAGATATATCGCTGCTCAGCTCATGGGAGCACCCACGCTCGGTTTTAGCAGGGAAGGGGTTTGCAGGCACCCTCTGGCCCCACACCAGGGTGGTCCTGCCATGGGGACCTCAGCCCAGACACCCTGGCAGCACAGGCAGCCTTTGTCCCGCAGCCAGGCCAGCCCCAGCCCCACTGATTTACAAGCCAGCACCGGCACAATGGGGAAGCTCTGCCCGGCGGGAGGAGGCGAAGGACTGCGTCTGCTCCAGGGAGAGAAATACAGCCCCGCCAAGACACCCAGGACTTCTGCCGGAGGCAAAGCACGGGGCCAAGGAGCCAGCAGTGGCCTCACTGGCTCCCTCCCCGCCAGCTCGTGTGGCACAGGCTGTGGCAATCTGCTGCCTCCGATGGGAGAGCAGCACCGGCTCCACTGGCACAGAGCTGCAGGTCTGCCCCTCTCCAAGGGCATGCAACCCCCCGGAGACTCCACCAGCGGGAACCTGCAGGCACGCACGATTTCCCCTCCATCCTCCAGCAAATTCCGACTCGCTGCTGGAGGGAGCATGCCACAAGAAACAGGAAACACGCTACTGCATCTGCACTACACGATTATTTAACTGCTAGATTTTGCAGGATAACAGCTTGCTTTGCTTTTATACTGGTTATTAACAATCACACTTCAAACTCCAGATCACAGGACAGCTTAAGTCCCAGTACCTGAACTTTCATCCTTAACCCCTCCCCAAAATAATTCTCAAGCGGTGTTCAGCAAAAATAAAGTCACATCGATGAGGAAGGCTAACTCCAGGGAAGTTGCTGATAAAAACCAAAGAAAATTGAAACCAGTTTGATGCAAGCCTCCTATGAATTATGGGAGGTAGTGAATAAAAAAACAATCCCAAATCCCCACTTCAAGCAGTGTGGGCCCCAAATCCGTAAAGACAGACGTACCAGTTTTTCCACAAAGCCCATTAAACAGACTTACTAATGAAGTTCTGGAGATGGAGGGATGGGTACCAGTGCACGGCCACGGGACCGAACTGCGTTTCTAAACTGACAGCACCCTTGGACTCAAAGGTATCTTGAAACATTGCCAAAGTGTTCAACACCGCTGCTCTCCGAGGTGAGATCTGCCCTTCCTGCCCCGTTCCCACTTTGCCCATCTCCACCTATCCCAGTTTGCATGTTCTATCTGTTTCTCAAACCCGACGAGGTCTCGGCCAGCTGGGCTGGGTGCGGGAAGTGCAGCGTGTGGATATTCAGAGCATTCCATCTGGATGGCCAACTGTCTCAGCCCCCAAACAGCGTCCTGGCCCCAATTTAGGCTCCTGAACACATGGTGCTCTTAGCACCCCTTGCTCCCATCCATTTTCTTTTTAAATCCAAATTTCAATTCAAGGCTAAAAATATCAGAAGCAGAAAAACAGAAGAGCAGCAAACTTCAGATTTGCTGTTCAGTTCATTTCCACAAGACTTTTCCTGCTGTTGGAAGGCCACCACCAAGGGGACTTCTACAAAGCTAACCTCTGCTCTTGTAGAAGGCAAGGAGGCAGGAGTCCGGGAGTGCCAAAATCTGCCGGGACCCCCAAGCCTGGGGCTCACCCAGCCCCAGGACCTCCTCAGACAAGGCAGCATGGGACTTGGAGCAGTCCGATGAGCAAGACTGGGATCTCCGAGGCCGACGTGGGGCTCAGACCCCCGCAGGTGCTCGCAGCTGCTGTGGGGCAGGGCGGCCACCGGCACCCCAAGACAAACGGCTGCGCTGCGCTCCAGGGACAGCTCATTTTAAGAAACTGATTTTCAGATGAGCTACTCGTGGTGTAATTCATGTCTCCACATGACGAACATTTCTTGGCAATCGCCAGCTCCCTGGCTGCAAGCTGATGCATTTTTAAATCATGGCTGGCAATCAAAGAGGTATTTGCCAGCGCTGCTGAAGCCTCTGGTCCCTGCTTTGCCTTTCGAGCAAGAAACCATGCAGCCCACTTGCAAGATCTGCCAGAGGACAGCAGCTCTCTGCTGCCTTCCCTGCAACCACATCAAGGCCAGCACCCACAGTTTCTCCTCTTCTGGACCTTCTCACCCCCAGATGATCCCGGCAGCTGTACGTGAGCAGGACAGCATCTCCACGTGCCCACGGCGTCCCCGCGGAGGCAGGGGATGCAGGGCAGCAGCCGCGGCTCCGCCTCCCGGCAGTGCTCTGGTGCAGGACAGGAGCTGACGCAGGTTTGGGGCTGGCAGGAGCCGTGCTACACAGGGGCGACCGAACGATCCCGCACCCATCCCGCAACCCCAGCGCTGCACCAGCCAGCCCAAAAATAACGCTTTGCTGTACAAACCCTCTTGCTGGAGGATCACCAGATGCTTTATGGACATGAACCCTTGCAATTAAGATCATGAATCACAGATTAAGGATTCAGCCTTCAGCAACACGAAAGTTGGCTGAGAAGTTTGATGCAAGCCACGAGACATTGCAAACACAAGATAACGTAACCAGGCAGCCTGCCTGGACGGAGCAGCATCGCAATGGCAGGGAGATGCTCTGGAAAGACCATGGCAGGACACAAGACCAGCGCTGAGGATGGGAAAATTCACCCTGGGCCAACTCAGAGGGTTTTATTTTGGTGACCGCAGATACACGGTCCTCAAACGCAATGAGCCAGAGCAGCCGCCTGGGGTCACGCCACCCGCCCAGAGCTCACCCAGCAGAGGGAGGAGTGATAATGACTTTTCCTTTTCTAAATTACTTGGAGATACAAAGATTTTTAAAAAGCCATTATCTCCCAGTGCCTGCGCAGTGGTGCCTACCCGGGACACTGCAATTTATGAGAGTGGTGACATGGGGGCAGCCAGCACAGAGAGCAGGGCTGACGCGCAGCGCCTGACGGGAGCTGCAGCATCCAGCACCTCCAGCGTGCAAGACGGGCTCTCGCCTGGCCTCAGCCCAGCTGGGAGACCCCAAAGCCCTTTGGTGAACACACCAGCTGAGCTCACCCCTTGCCGCGCCACATCCCTGCCCTGGGGCGCTCAGGGTCCTCCCGTGATTTGCCTCGGTGCAAATCCTCCTGAAAGCCACCCTCTGCCTGGCTCGGAGGACGCTGTGCCAGGGAACCCCGGGCAGCGCAGCGTGGCATCCCTGGGCACCTCATGCCCGCAGCCCTTGGCTGTGGCTTGGAGCAGCAGAAAAGGGGCCAGCAACAAAACATGCTGGTTCCCCTTTGGTAGACGAAGCCTCCTCATTAAAAAGCGACCCAAACCGCCCAGAGACAGGGGGACTTCTGCATACCTCGACTCTCCATGGCAAAGCTGCACAGGCTCCCACTTTGTCATGTAAATGCGGGCGCCCAGGGCCGGGGGCTGGAGGGCGAGTGTTGTTCCTGCAGCACCAGTGAGCGGGATGAAATCCGCCTGCCATTATAAATTCAGTGGCCCGGGAGGAATCACAGACTTTCGCACACAAAAGCTGTGCCCTGGGGACGTGCTGGCGGCGGGAGCATCGCCGACGCCACCCCTTTGCCGCGGGCGCG